CCGGGGTTTGCCCACCGTTGCTTTAGTGTAAGAGTGTTAGAAAAAATTGAGCTTGTACTGCATGCCGTAGGTGCAGATGCCTAAAAAAACTGAATTGAATTAGGTATACTTGGCCCCAAGAGCATCCAAATATTAAAATGCTCAGTTCATGATCTATTATGTGTTTCAGGGTTCTACTATTGTAGTGAGCCCATGGCGTGGGATCTGGTGTAGTCCGCAGTTGGGTCTAGGTGGGTTTTTTCTAAAGAAGTGTAAAAAGCAGAAAAAACAATTGGGCTGCAGAAACCTTTTTCCTGGCAACTTTCTTGGCAATTTTTTTAAGTGCTGCCTGAGCTGTGCGGAGTGAGGTAACCCTACATTTCTGAGGGTGGTATATGACCCCAGGATTTCTGCTTCTAAGCCAATCTCTGGATTGTATTGAGCTTGTGAGAACCACCAATGCACGCCTATTATTATGGCTGCCCAATAGTATAACTGAAGATCAGGCAGCCCTAGTCAGCCTTTTGTGGTGGGATGTTGAAGTTTTTGGGATATTACAAGACCATAGAAAGGAAGATAAGATTTTAGAACAGCATTTTTTTTCCATTTAATTCTATATTCATCACTTCTCTGTTTCCAGCTACGCCATTTCCTTGCTGTTCACTTGTATTTTTTAAAATAAAGTTGTTACTTTTGGAACCAAAAATAAATAAATAAATTTTTCTCCTAATTTTTTTTGATTGTTTTCAAAGGGGGCATACAATTCTTGTCTCCTTGAAATTTCCTCCTTTTGATTGCCCGAGTGGACTATTTGGCTCCAGGGTTTTAATATAGTGTGGCCACCAAAGTATTCGGGTATAACACAAAGATATATTTATATTTCTGTAGTAAGTTCATTGTTATGAATTTAAATGGGGGGAATAAGTTTGAAAAGCTCTTTTTAAAGGTTAAGAACTCTTGGTGCTAAAAGAAGAGCCCTTTAAAGCTGCAAAATAATTCTTGAACTGTTGTTGTTCTGAGGAAAGCAGACAATGACACAAGTAGCTTATATGATATCATATCAGTCCAACCTGTAGGTTATAAAAATAAAGAAAGCAACTAATAGTCTTTGAAACGTTCCTAGAAATAAAAAGTACAGGGTCATCGGTGAGCCGCTCATTGTTCCTTGTTCCGTAATAAGAAAATGGACAGAGTTGGCATAAAGTGTGTCAGTCCTTTTTCAGTCAATAACTTACAGGGGTAAGTGAATGCCGATGTAAGTGCTATTCAACTGCAGGTGCATTGCTTTAACTAGGAGGGATAATAGTTGAAAGGACAGGAATTAGTGGCATGTTGCATTAGCCTTTTGTAGCGTATTTTATACTAAGCATCTTAATTTCCCCATCTGAATGGGAAGCAGCAAGAGTGTGGGTTTTCAACTAATACTCATCATGCATGTAAACGGTGTGAAAAGGGTCCGTTGGTAAGTGAACACAGAGTGTTCTTGTGTCCGCCCTTGTGGAAATAGATACAATACAAACATTTCAGATGAACACGCTGTAGACTCCATTGAGTAAAAACCTGCCTTCATTGTCTAAGCACCCTCCCCTACGCAGTGAGAACAGAAAGTCCATGAATAGGAGTGCAAGCTCATTTTGTCCCATGTACTGCTAGGCTTTTAGGGACTGCACTGAGGGGGCACGTTTTTTTTGTTAAGTTGAGACCAATTCATTAAGTTTTATTGCCTGGTGAGAAGCTGTAATATGTTATTGTGTAAGTTCATCAAACATTCATAAGTAGTAAATGTATTCATTCAAGTGGTCTTAGGGGGATTTGAAAAGGAACATGGAGTCTGCTCAGCTGACAGTCTACAGGGAGACAGCGCTTGTTTAACAAGCTTACGTATAATCTCTGATTACGGTTTGTCTGAGAGGATTTCCTCTTTTATTGTTGGAAATCTGCATAAAATCAGCCGTGTTCAGAACTTGTAATGCCTTGTAATCCCAAACTGAGGATCTTGACTTACACTTCAGTTTTCTTAAACACATTTTTGTTATTTTTTATTTAAATCTCTTTGAGACAACCTTTTTTGGGAGTTCTTTATTTAATTTTACCCCCTCAGCCCTGTTAATCCTTGCTCTGTTATGTACTTTCACGTTCCCCCTTTGTCATTAAAGCAGAATTGCACCTGTCTTCCCTTGAAGAGGGTGAGACTATATCTGCACCACAAATCGCATTTTTTATATATAGGTGAAAATATCTATTTTGCTGGTATTTGAAAAATATTATTTCCTAAACGGGCTGCTAGACAAACGTTAATTACAGGGTAACAGGGATAGGTTTTAATTAACTTAAACCTGCCATTAGTCTAAGCCTAATCTTCTGTGGTCTTTTGGCCACTTCCAGGTAAGACAAAGATGTAGCGAAACACCTTTGCCTTTGGCAACCTTTTACCCTATAGATATGATCACTGAAGCCCCAATCTGCCATCTCTTTTCCAACTCCTCTAAGTGATTTATGTGCCCCTGTTTTCACCTGAGCTTGCACTACTTTTCCAACTGCATGTGTTTTGCCCAAAACTTGCACTTTTCCAACTGCACATGTTTTTTTGTACCTGTTTTCTTCAGAGCTTGCACTACTTTTTCAACTGCATGTTTTTTGCCCCTGTTTTCATCTGCACTTGTTCCGTGGCTGTCTGAAACTGGAGTATCACCTAAGAAAACAGTCACAACTTAAGAAGTCCCCGTGACCACTTCTTCAAGATGCAACAGTTAAGCATTACACTAGCTTGATAAATCCTGGTGCAAATATGTTCCGTGCAAGTTCAAACACTCGCAATTGCTATGATAAATTCCCCCCAACATGTCTAATGAAAATGACATTAATTATCAAGGCTTAGACTGCATTGATAAATAAGGTGCAAATAACGTGGAAAATGTGTCACTTAAAGAAAAGTGGAGCAACTCCCTTGATAAATTCCCCCCTCTGTGTCATGTTTGATCAGTATAGTATTAGCCAGGAGTTACAGTCCTGATACAACAAGGGATTGTCCTCTGGGATCAATGATTAGCTTGGGTGGTTGGAAGTCATAGCAGCAAAGCCCTATGCACGTACCACCAATGACATCCTACAGCATAATACACAGGGCTGGTGCTAGGATTCGTGCCTACAAAGGCAAGGTGCATTTTTGCGCCCCCCTCCCCATCCCCCTTCCCACCTGGAGCTCCTCCCACTGGACCAGCGCTGACTCGCCTCTGCTCTCCTGCACCGAAGGTAAGTGAAACAAAAAACATAGCGCAAACATCGGGGCATTTTGACAAGTACTTGTCAAAATGCCCTGTTTTTTTCGCCCTCACCCTGCAGCGCCGTAAGGCGGCCGCCTGACTTGCTTTGTGGTAGCGCCGGGCCTGATAATACATGGCCATGGCAAGTGACCACTAAGAATATGGCCAGAGAGCACGGCTTGGGAAACAATTGTCCAAACTGCTCTAAGTTTTCTAAACGGTTAAAATGGTGCCTCCATGTATTGCTTTTGTACCTTGCAGAGCACTATAAGAGCCAAAACCTATATAGTTATGTTGTGCAAATGGTGAATAGCTCATGAATTCCTTATGCTCACCTCCTCCTGTGCCTCAATGATGGTCATTGACGGTCCTCATCATAGTTATGTACCAATAGTGAGGCAGGTAGGGCCAAGCTCAAATTCAGCTTGAGGAAAAGAATGTTCGATTTACATGCATTCTTTTTGCATTCATAGAATAAAACATACTCTGCAAAAAAGTTCCTTTTTTTTCTTGTTTGTATTAACAACACCCAGAATACAGACCTGTGAGGAGTAACAAGTTGGGTAAAAAAAAAGCATTTGATACCTTATTGAAGCCATATTTGTTGACAGGATGGACAAGACTAATAATGTGGGCACATTTGGAAGAGCAGATTGTGAATCGGGTTCCCAGAATTTCCCAGGATAGCCATGCTTACCATACATTGGGTTGGAAGTAACATTTTCAGTTGATTGCTGCAAAATCTAGTATTTTACTCTGCCTTGTGGTTTTTTTAATAAAACATTGCCCTGCGCTTTCCATACTGATGATGTATTTGTGTTTCCTACGCGTGAAAATTATTGTGAGTCTCTTATAACATTACTAATTGTGCCGACACATTTCCAACATGGGAGTACGGGTCTTTGTTCCATATGCAGCATTACATTGTGTTTCCAGAGATGTAGTTGGTTGTAGACAAGTCCTCCGCTGTTTTGATTGCTAGACCCAATGAGGTTGAAAGCATCAGTGGCGGCATCTCTGTCAGTTAAACGGCTTTTTTTTTTTTCTTTGAGTTTTTCATACCGGTCCTCAGGGATCACTAATGCTGTAAGTTCTTCACAAACCCAGGTCAAATCATTAATGTGAGTCTTTTATAACCTTCCTAGTTGTGCCTACACATTTCCATCTGATCCTTTTGATATTCTAACCATGTTAATTCATGATCATATGTATTGAAAATTGAACCATGTGTGACTTTATCTTCTTTAGTCAGGCAAAAAGGAAATGATCAGAGGAGTTTACAAAATGTGATTGTTATGGTTTTTGGCTTGTGTGTGTGTGTGGTGATTAAACACTTTTTCTTTTAGTCTTTAAAAACACTAAAAATGGTGATTTGTTGGAAGGTGATTGTAATGATTATTGTAATTTGGATCAAATTAAAAAAACTTGTTACAAGCTTGTTTCACAAGAATATATTCCCAAATCCAATAATAAAAAAAAAAAAAAATGAGGCAAATTATAGAATATACAGTATGTGTTAATACAATACTGATGTGTGGTCAGTTGTATTCCAACCTGTAAGTATGGAATATGTGTACCATCGCTGGCTTTTCTCTAAACTGCCTATAGATGCTGTTAGGCTTTATATACACTTTAACACAAGTCCTTTTTATATGTTATATGCTTGCTTTCCTGGCTTTTATATAAAAGTTTAGACTCATTACTTGGCGACTCTTACATTTATTTATATTATAATATGGTTAACTTTTTTTCTCTTAGGCTGATGATGTTGAAAACAAAATCCGTGAAATCGTCCCTCCAGGATTTTGCTGTGGTACAGATGACTTTATATCGTTATTGGAAAAGGAGGTTAACTTTAGGCCATTTGGCACTATAATTCACAGCTATAACATTTTTAACGAAGATGCTGGCGAAGAAATCACATACCAGATATGTAAGGTAAGTCTGTTATTTCTAAAATGTTATATTTGTGTACTGGAAATTCCTCTTAATACAAGTAAGACAGCCAAGGACACAGTCGGTTCATCAGATTATCTTCTTTTTCTGTCTCTTGTGAACATGATGCAAAATTTTAACTGTTTCATAGAAAGAAGTCCTTTTTGTATTCTTGAATTTTAAGAATTCTATACCACAGAAAAATCCAAAGTGGACCACAGGAGAATTCTGTTTATCCATTCCAAGTAATTCCAGTTATCTTAGAAAGCGTATGTTACCTTGTCATCACTCCATGCAGTAATAAAGTTCTCTTGCTTTGCAGCACTTAGGAATTGCATCTTTTGGATGAATGTGCTATTGCAGCATGACTATACAGATAAAGTGTGCCTCCTCTAAAGAGGTAGAGGGGCCAGACTTCAGTCAATACTAGAATACAGTTTACAGCGATAGGAAGGGAATAAGCTTTCTCTTTCACTGTTGTGTTTGAAAAAAGGAGGTAGGCAGCCGGGTAAGCACACGGAGAGGTCACGACGATTGGGGATTTAAATTTAAGCTATAAAACCTGTTAAAATGGAAATAAAAGGAGCTGTCATTTCTGATTTTATTTAATGCAGTTCTGGGGCTGTCATACTTATCCTTGCTCTACAGCTGGGGTAGCCAAACTCCAGCCCGCCAGCTGTGGTGAAACTACAAATCCCAGGATGCATCTCTCTCCGGGAGACATGTCTGTGGCTGTGAGAATCTTGCAATGCCTCATGGGATTTGTAGTTCCACCACAGCTGGAGGGCCGCAGTTTGGCTACCCCTACTTTACAGCTATGCACATGCAGCCAGTGAAGTGGTGAAACTTCTGTTACGCACATGGCTAGTTTTGCGTTAGAACATGGCAGCCCTAGAATGCATACCTGTAAAAACAAGCCAACATAGCAGCTGCCATATTTGTCATGACAGGTAACCTCCAAGCCTTATAAATGTGTGTAAAATAACTTCTCCTTTTCAAGAACTCGCATAGCAACTGCACATTTATAAATACTATTTTTACCATTTTTGGCTAAAATGTTTTAGGTGTTTAACTTCTGAATATGTTCAGTACAAAACAAACCAGGTCAACAATAAAGTTGGATATTTAGGCAGCAGACTAGAGCTGCAGCTAACGATTATTTTCAAAATCGATTATGTCGATTAGTTGTTGCAGCCCTACAGCAGACATCTGCGTGGATTTGTTTAGTCACGCACTCTCATATTCACACCCTGGTCTCTGTCTACTTTCCCCAGCACAAAAAAAAGTTCTACCAAAGTTGGTTCAAAACCTATACTAGGGTCAAAACTGTTGCTAACCATGGTCCTCAACTTTTGGGCATGTCCAGTGAATGTAAAGTTGTTTGCGGTGTTTACCCAATATATGACTTGATATAGCAAGGAGGTAGAATACTGGGAGGTGAGGCAGATAAAAGCCTGGGTTCTGTGTCCAAGTAGCTGGTGTATTTGTTGCCAGTTTAAACTTTATTTTATTGTTTATCCGATTAACCGATTAATCGAACCTAATAATCGGCTAACTAATCGATTTTGAAAATAATCGTTAGCTGCAGCTCTACAGTAAGGCGATATTCGAATAAGACATGCAAAACATCTGGTGTTGTAGAGCAAGGGTAACATAGGGTCAATTTCCAGTTTATCAATTTGCTAGACGGTACAGTATAGTTGGTGGATAACGTAAAACTGTGAACTAAGATTATGTGTACTGACAACTGTTGAGAAAAGGGTTTCCTCCACATCTTCAAAGTCCTTTTTAGTTAAGGACGGAAAGTCCACTTCAGTCATTTTGTCAAAGGGAACAGGGGACAGTTGTTGAAGGAAACAATTCAGGTTCATCACTTGTATCAAGAGGAGAGGCACGGATATTTAGGGATTGTGTTCCCAGTGGTGCCTGAATAGCATGTTGGAGACGGGTACCTGTAACTGTGTTGGCTTTCGAGCTTACAGTTATTTTTAAGGTGTTTGATAAGGGATGAACGTATCCTGAACATATCAATTATGAACGTATTTAATTCCTCTTTGAGCCCACCATATAGTATCTGTATACTCGTAAAAGGTTTTAAAGTGCAGGTTGAACCATAAAGGAGTATTTAGAGAAATTTGTATATATTTCCTTTCGCTTTATACCATAGCATTACCCTTATGTCTAGAGGTGAATTATTGTTGCAGTTAAGTAAGGTTTGACTAAATAGATTGTTTTCAGGCCTGAACCCTGGAAAGTCACTTCCAGAACAGTGGTTGAGTTTCTACTGAGGAGGTAATTAACATAAGTTAGTGTTGAAAGTTAGGTACTGACATGGCACCCATATCTTCATGGGCATTTAAACCAGTTCTGGTAATGTGTGGCCATTCCAGAGAAACAAACAAAAAAAAAAGTATGGATAAAATGTGTTTGATATGTACATTGGAGTTGACGTATGATGTGCAAGACTCTTGGAGGTAGAACATTTTGATTTTGGTTTATGCAGAGTTATTGGAAGGGATTCCACATTTTAAGTTCAGCTGACAATTTAAACTAGTGGGGTCAGATTCTGTGTAGTATAGTTTTGAGGGGGTTTTGGATATTTTGCTTTGGAGTTCTGGTTGTGTTGGTCCAATGGGAAAAATAATAGATTTTTCCAGGTTAGCTTTTAGACCTGGGAAGGTACCAAATATTTTAATAACCCTCCAGTAAGTGACTGCCTCTTACCATTATAGATACATTTAGAATATCTTTGTAGAGAGAAATCCTTTCCACCAGTCTACCCCATGTAAGCTCTTTGAGTGTCGAGGATTGTCTGATTTAGATTTGCAAATGGTTCTATTGGCAATGCAAATAAGAATCATTAAAAAGGGCAACCACAACTAGTACCCTGTTAAAGCTGGATAAAAGGAGAGTTGAGAGTTTTTACGCACCCTCACCACTGGGTCAGTAATTTTTTTTTCTTTAATACGTACATTATACATTCTGTTAAGGACTGACCATGGATATTCCCATTCTACAGAATCAATGGCCAGTAACACCACAAGGCTAGATTTGCCAGACTCCTGTACTACATGCGTGTTTAAGTACAATTTCATAAAGTTTGAAATGCTATGTTTGCCTGGCATAAAGCCCATCTGATCTCAGCCCACTAGGTTCAAAATTACGTTAGGCAATTGGCTAGAAATTTGGCTAACATCTTGAAACTGCAAATTAAACGAAGATATGGGATGGTACTAGTCACATAATTCTGCATCTTTACCTGGTGTGGGACACAATCAGCGCTTCTTACGGATTTGGTAGTGTTCCCTGAGAGTACACTTGTTTAATAGACTTCAATAGCTGAGGAAGCAGTGAATGCCATCAGGGCTTGGTGTTTTTCTTCCGGTAAAGGCTTAAATGGCATTTTTAAGTTCATCCTTTGTAAACTGGTTATCTAAGTGGGTGCGTTGAGCCTGATCAAGTGTTAGGGATTGGATGTAATATAAGAAGTCATTCAGGTCATGCTGAATATATGATATTTTTGTTAGGCTATATGCCAGTATGAGAGCTGTCCAGTGCACTTTCTGCTCAATGAATGGCTACAGTACCAGAAACATTGATATATTTTGCTGGGTGACCACATGATATGCACATTTTCTATGAAGTGCTGTGATCTGAATGAATGTATGTACCATTCATGTCATTGCAAGAGTAGAGTTGCGCTTGATAGTGAGTTTGATATTATTGTAGAAGGTTCACTATGAAACGCAAATGCCATCATGTGTTTTAATGTAGAAACTTTACTAGTTTTTTTACTTTTAATATATCAGTTTCGATATGCCGCATGCCATATTTGATGTCTGACCCTGACTTTGCATGTTGCTCTAGGCTGACATGACCTGTCCAGGCTTCAGAGAGTACCATGAAAGGGTTCAGACGTTCTTGATGTGGTTCATTGAAACGGCCAGCTACATTGATGTGGATGACGAGCGATGGGACTACTTTCTGGTGTAAGTGGCTTTCCAAATCAACATTCGACTCTCCTCCTTTAATGAATCTTGGCGGTTTAATTGGCAGACACCAATTATGCAGCAACAGTATAATGATATTTTTTCCCAGGCATGATAAACTATTGTTTACAAGGCTCACAGTTTCCCTTCATTGTGTTTGCGGAGGCCTCCAGAATAGCGCTGAATTAAACTCTGTTGTCTGTGGGAGCTCTGAATGTGGGCTTTAAGAGTAAAATGAGCTTTGCCTGTGTTCCCTTTTTACTAGCCACCCATTCAAGTGCACAATAGGCAAGTGCACTGAAGTGATGCAAAGAGGGCTGATTTATCCAAGTTGAGCTCACCAATTAAGTGAATTGTACATTTCAGAATAAAGCAGGTGTACCCATTGGGCCCTCACAGCGTAGCTTGCTGACACTGGAAACTCTCTGAGAGAATGGAAAAGGAAAATGGACCCTGCATGGGAGCTTGCCTGTAATTGACCTGCTTGGCTTTCTGTTTTATCTGCAGATTTGAGAAGTACAATAAGGACGGGACTACACTCTTTGCGACTGTAGGCTACATGACAGTCTATAATTACTATGTGTACCCAGACAAAACCCGGCCACGTGTAAGGTAATTGCCAGCGATGCACGTGCCTCTTCTTTTCGTTTTTCTTTTTTTACCCCCCTTTTTTTGTTTCACAAGTGAATCTCACGTTCCCAATCTTACCTATAATTGTGTTGATGGGTTTTTTTTTTCCTTTAGAGTACAAGAGGGGAAAAAGGGTGAAGATTGACTCTGTTTAGTTAAAAACTGGACTGATCTTTGTTAATGCTAAACCATAATTGTGTCTTATTGTGCAAATCCACATTAATGCAAATAAAGATGCATTAAAAGATAAAGGTTTAAAATATTTTTTTACCCTCATTACCACGAGTTGTAGGCTAATGGGCAGACATTTGTGAAATATCACAGACAGATATAGATATATTTTGTGTAGCTTAAATAATATTACTGAGACATTTATAGATGGAGGACTTCACAAGTAAAGTTTTTTTTTTCTCCATTGTTTAAAAAAAACCCATCTGGAGGTTTCAGTCATAATGTGCTACTGTGTACACCCTATTAGCACATTATGGCCCACTTACCTTGTAGGAGATCCCTTCCAGTGCTGAGCTGTTCACTCTCCCCTTCATCGCCGCCACTTCCATCTTCACCCGGCCTTTTTTCAGGTCGGCGTCTTTGGCCTCTTGATTGGCCAGGCCGGAATGATGTAACTCATTCATGCATAGGGGAGGTAGCTCCATTTTGGCATAGGACCTTGCCAAGCCTATGCAAGCCTACATAAAGGCTGTGGGGCCATTCGTGGATGTGACGAGTACCATGCAGCCCAAGCTTGTCGTCACTAAAAAAAAAAAGGAGTGACCACTAAATAATTTCATAGCTTCTTACTTCAGAGTCCTGACTTGCTGCATAATATCATGGATATGGTTGTGTTTCCAACATTAAAATACATGTTCTTTGTTTACTTTTGCAGCCAGATGATTATTTTGCCTCCATTCCAGGGCGAGGGACATGGCGCCCAACTACTAGAAACAGTTCATAGATACTATGTTACCTCTCCCAATATTTTGGATGTTACAGGTACTGTATTTATTATTATTGACTATATTCTTCTCTTTTTGACATAACCATTATTTCAGGTATACCTTCTGTTAAAGAGAGATACCTGCACTGCTCACACACCCTAGATGTCGGGTCATCCCCTGGAAAGAGCAGGTGCCAGAAACCAGGCTGGGGCATGGTCCTATGTCCTAAAAAAATGAACAATCCAGAAAAAGAAAGCACATTACATTACATTTAAAGCTGGTACAACTTTATTAATTCAGACAAAGGATCCTCACCTGGGAATCTCTTCCTCTCATGCATTTAACCTTGCAGGCTGGGCTTGATTTGTAGGGGTGACCTAACGAAACCCAGATGTGTGGGTAAAATGCTTCAGTGGAAGAGGTTCCCAGGTGTGGATCCTTTGTCCAGATCAATAAAGTTGTACCAGCATTGAATTTTAGGAGTGACCGGCGATTTCTTCTCTTGGATTATTCTGCTAAATACACTGTTGAAATACATTTCCTGTATACTTCCCAAAGTAAATGTCATGTAAAAGTCTCTAAACTAGGCCTCACTAACTGCTTGACCACATGCCCACAATGCCACTTATGTCTTTAGGCTGTTAGGAAGTCTACGTTCTTTGCAAATGACAGGCTCCTTCAACCCCTCTTCTTTTATAACTACACATGTATCTTTTACTTGCCATATTATATTTAAATCATCCTTTAACCTTTTTGTGGTGATAGTATTTCCAGTCAGAATTCTTTAACCTTTTATTTTCTTATAATTTTGTTTTTGAGAGCTAGAATGGTTAAACGGTGTACCGATTTTATCTTTTGATGTCCCTAGTCAGTAACAGGGTAGATGGAGGCAGATTCTTGTGGCGAAATAGTGTTTCAAAAACAGATCAATGGTGGTGTGGTAAGACACTGCATATATCTACGCTTCATGATCATTAAGGTATTAATGAACAAATTTGTAAGGTTTCTGAGAACCACATCTGGCTCCTGAACTACTTATTGTATACTACTATTTTATGGTTGTGTACATGCTCATACCCGCTACATTTTGGGGTTTGTTGAAATTCATGAGCATCATGGTCGCAGACCTTTGAATTTCTTGGTGAAAACCTCTTTAAAAGCGGTTTAAACTTACCTGTGTCTTCCCCGCACGCTCCCATCCTAAAATTTGATCTCTGGAGACCGCAAAGGATCTTGGGGCGGGTGCATGCGCTGTTCAGATTTTCGGCCGGGAGACGAGGAGAGACACTAGGTAAGTTAATGGACTGCAGACTTCGTGGGACAGGAAATGCCAGCAAGCACAAAGGAGTCAGTGCTGGATCGGAGACCCGCAGGAGCGCTGGAGAGAAGGCTGAAAACTACTGGAAAGAAGATGATCAGATTAAGAGACATCATTTAAGGTAAGCGCTTTAATTAACATTGGGGGGGAGAAAACAAGCTTATCCTTTAATGTCACTTTAAGGGGTCCATTAATTTTAAAGGGGCTGGCAGTCCACCACAACACACACAAAATGTACCGGCCCCTACACTACATTGTATAGAAGAGCCATATTGGTGCGTTGCAATGTACTAGAATGAATATGCATTGCAGTGTGTATTCTATATATTTTAAAGTGTCATTCAAAATAAATCTTATTGCAACTTAGTTCCATGCATTGCCATGAATCGCACGTTAATGCAAGACATACGTGTAAGTGGGCCCTAAAAGCAGCCAGTTGGAGGCCTGTTTGGATGCATTGATGCAGATGTTCATGAGTATAGTACAATCACCTACGTACCTAAAGCTTTTGGGATCTTTTGTTCAGACAAACTGGTTGCTGATAGCTTGCTTTTTGTTTTGATATTGAAGTTGCTCCAAGTTGAATCCAATAACGAATGGCCAAAACCTTTCACGCAGGCCTATTTCAAGGTTGTCAGTTCTGTGGAGATTTCATTAATTTTTTTATCTCGTCCCAAAGCTTGCGCTGTATCCCCTTGCAGGTTGTGTGGAATAATACTCTATTATACGTAAGTGCTGCTGCCCACAGAACAGTTTAATGTAATTAGAGGGTCTAGAGGGTGTTGTAAAGACTTATTTTGGAAAGAGGTTGAACTTTCTTTAGTGAGGAACACTGAGAACATTGAGGCTGCTCACTTGGGAACAATGGACTTGTTTCTTGAACAGAAAGAATTCAGAAGCCACTGTTTCTTGCGCAGTATATGAAGTGTCTAATGGTACTCATTTCCATCGTGTACTTTACCTCTCTTTTTAAACATCACAAGTCTATTGTGTTTTGTGAGTAACTTCTGAAATGGATTCTGATGTGTCCTTGATAAAAAGCAGTTAAGGAGGGTCAACAATACAAATGGCAATAAGCATGCATAGATTTCCAATACTTTAAAGATTCTCTAGTTCATTTTTTTTTCTTTATCGTAGTACAAATAAGAAGAAAACACTTTATCAGAAATGATACTAATATATTAATGTTATTTGTAGAAATTAGATATACAATTACTCAACAAGGGATGTGGTAATATAATACTTAACATGACTCTAAACTCAGGAATTTAATCTTCATGCATTCAAGTACCTTAACTATTCACAAAAATTTATCTTATTTGTGTATCACTCAGCTGCAGATCCTCAAATCATCTCTGAATTGGTGCTGACACTGTCCTTCCTTCTGGAGGGTGGCTACTTTTGTTCCCCATGGTCCCTGTGTGTGTTGTAAAGTAGCCACCGAACCAAGCTCACGCCCGTGATGGACTACAATCTCAATACAAATTAGTAAACAAAGCGTGAGATTGTAGTCCTTCACGGGAGTGAGCTTGGAGCGGTGACTACTTTACAACACGCAGCGGGACCGTGGGGAACAAAAGTAGCCCCCCTCCAGAAGGTAGGACAGTGTCAGCACCAATGCAGAGATGATTTAAGGATCTACACCAGAGTGATACACAAATAAGATACATTGTTGTTAATAGTTAAGGTACTTGAATGTATTTTTAAGCTTTACTCTTAAGTTTAGTGTCATATTATTTATTTCATTTTTATTTCTCATATTTGTAAAACAGTAAAGTATGCAGTTCTTTAGCATATGAGTGCTATTCACAATCCTCACCACATAGTATCTTCTATGTAGTGTTCCTACTAGGGATGTACCGCTACCAGTATCAGTGCCGATATTGACCATTTTCATGAGTACTCGTGAAAGTGCCCCGACACTAAAAACCGATATGAGCACTTTGATTTTTTTAGTTGATTCGGCTGCCTAAGGTCCTGTGCTTGCTGGGGCAGCAGCCTTCTGGGGAACCATGCAGTGCCTTTTTACTGCGCTGGCCCGCATATCTCCCCTGCCGAGACCCTCCGCCCGAGACATGAAGCCAGCACCCTGGAGCAGAGCAGCAGCACAGAATATGTAGAAAATTCAAATATTTTTTATTCTGCATTGCTGTATAACGTACTGCTGGGATTTGTAGTCCTCTATGACCAGCGCCATTCTGCATTGGTATATGTTGGTGAGATTTGTATTTCTTCTACAGCTTGGAGTTAGTGGTACTACTAGGGACGCAGCGTTGCAGCTGGGCCCGGGCCCTGGCGCTCTACCACTGTCCTAAAATCATTAGTCTGTATTGTTGTAGAAAAACTGTCATATGACACTGAAAAAAGTATCGGTGCATCCCTAGTACCGGTACCTACTACTGTGTTAGACATGGACTTATCCTTGTAGTAACATTTCAGCAAAGTGTTAAACTAAAAGCCAGAGCAGTGGCAGTTGCTGATTGACACCAAAACTTCAAGCTCAATTGAACTCTTGCTTTTTACTGTATGTGCAACCTAACTGGATTACAGCAGTATACAGAGATCATTTGGGCTTTAAAGTAGGAAAAATCCATGTTGCATCAATGGAACAGATTTTCATTCCCTTTAGTAATGTGCTCAGGACGAGATTGACCATAAATATGTTCTAATAATATATTAATATTTCAGCATGTGACTTATATAGTCATAGGAACCTAAGAGACAGCTCTTCCTTTACCCCCCCAAAAAAAGTTGTTGTTGGAGTATGTCATGTGGCCAATTTAGAAGTAGGTAGTGCTTAGCCTGTATTATATTGTCAACAAAATCTCACGTTGTCATCAAAAGTTAGAAAAGCCAGAGCTGCTATTATATTGGTAATAATGTGGCAGCAAGTGTTGGCCTTTTAGAAGGCTGATCGCTGAACAATCAACACTTTTGAATCGCAGGGATGGCGAAAAGTGTCGGGTTTCTTGAATTTAAATGAGAACTTATCCGTCATTACACAGAGGGGAAAAAAATAGGGTGCTCACTGAATGGACAGATACTGAAACTGCAACTCAGATATGTTGGCCACGTATTATGAATGCAGGGCTTAGCAGAGAAGAAGCTCCAGGAAGAGTTGAAGACAAAATGAGAGGACAGCAGAGGTTGAAGTTGTATACACAGTAGCTTAGGGAAACAGCTGTTAACAAACAGGCCTGGCTTGCCTAAGTCCATTCGGCCCCTAGTAAACAAAAACCTTGCTTTCAAGACTTCTTTATTGAGCCATTTATCCCCTTTGTGTCAGTTCTTCATTTGTGCCACAAGGACACAAGAGGCATTTAGCAAAAACAAGGCCACAACTATTTCCGCAAACTTTTTCCTTATGTGTAGTTGCTTGAGGGACAAATGATTTAGGTATTAATGTTTTTTTCCACTGACTCTACAACTTTCCACTCTTTTGTGTCGCCGTGTGGTAGAAGAGAAAAGCAGACTATTGCTAGCTCATAGACTACAGCTTCTTTTGCCAAGCGGCCAGCATATGTAGTAGCATGAAAAAGATCCGTCGGGGAAAGATAAGCAGCCAATATTCTCCTGTCTGAAATGTATCTGTCATGTTAATCAGGAAAGCCTGTTTTAAGAAAATGTTTTCCAGATTACGTTGTAGTTTATTATACGATTACGGCACTTTACTTTGAAGTTTTGTAATGTTTTCCGTTTCAGATGGGCCTCATTTTTGCCTGTTACTCTGGAGAGCA